GATGCCCTTTTTATATAATGCCAGTAATTTCATATTTCCCACTGAGCGATCACAAAGCGTGATTACAGTTTGTCCAGATGCAGCGACCCAGTCATCAGGATTGCTTCTATATCTGAATAACTTTCAGTAGCCCAGGATCTCATGAATAGCAAATGCAGAATCAAGTTGAATGCTTGAAATATGACTACAACTTGAATTGTGAAGCTAGATATCTGATTGTGTCCTGAATGCAGTATTCGGTTTATTACAACTCAAAATAATTTCATGTGCTGCCTATATTTATTCACTGTGAAAAGATCACATCAAATTGATGAATTTTTTTTAACATGAGGGAAACAATACAGAAATGATCTGATGAAGTTATTTCATTCTGGTCTGAAAAGAATGGCTCCACAAATCTTTCCTGACATGTAAGTGGCACATTAGATTTGGGGTGAACTACTCTTTTAATCTACATATCTTGAAATCTGGTCATTTGATTTTGGATATTTAAATGTGGCTTAGTTCATTTAAGCACATATGTATAAAGGGTTTGTTTTTCTTTTTCAATGAATGTGGACTTTTGAGGCCACTGTGTTAGAATTCTTAGCAATTTGCTCTCCAAATATACATACATGCATGTATGAATCTCTGCCACATGTTCCTGGGAAATAAGCCTCTATTTCTTCTTTCAACAACTGGATGGTTATATTTTGAGAAGACAGATATTTTGTGAAGATACACACACCTTCTGTGACATCTGAAACTCAACAGCTTGCATGTCTATCTCTGCATGCCTACTCAATGTGTGGTTTTTGCCCAGCGTGGGAGAGATGTTTGTGAATGGGCCAAGAAATATGCAAACTCAGTAGTCAAGAAGAAATTCTGGCAGATTAAAGCATTTGCAAGACTGTATCCAAGGTAGCTATAAATTTCTCTAAAGAACAGGGCTGAGAAAAAATTAAAAATTAGATACAGATAAGAAAGGAAGCTCATGTAAAATTGTGCATAAGATGTACAGTATAAACAACCGCTACAACTCTGCAGTCGGCTTAAAAATCCTCAGTTTTGCTTGGAGAAAGTCCTTGCTTTGCGAGTAGTGGTTAGCATCTTAAGATCTAAGCACTTGAAGCTTACATCTAGATTATGTCCCCGTGTTTTGGGGAAATGCTCTTCCCTCCTTTCTTTCCCCTCTGTGCCTCCTCTCTTTTCCCTGATTTTCAGAGTCAAACTGTTTTTATTCCTTGACTTGGAGGCAGAGAGTGAAGACTCAATATGCTGGAAAGGAGATTAAAAAACATTCAATTCAAGATCTTCTTTTGATGAATGACATACATCTATGTAAGCTAAGGTATGTTGTAGTAATAAGTATTCTCAGAGTCTCAGTGGGTTAACACAAAAAAGGATTTATATCTCACTCCCACCTTATGGTTAATATGGAATGAGGGGTTGGGGAGGAGCTGCTCACTGTCATCACTAAGGAGCCCAAGGAAGCAGAACTGGGGGAACACAGGAACCAACACACTAGCACTTAGCTCACATAGGACTGGCCAAAATTAGTGACATGTCCTGGCCTAATATTAAAGAGTAAAGCAAGGAAACACAATCCTACCATAAGACTAGAACCAGAAGAACCAGAAGATTTGTAAGCAGTCCTACTGGCCACTACAATGAGAATTCAGAAATCCAGAGAATTTAAAGCAGTGCATTCTGTGGTATGCACTTTTTTCTTTCATTTCACTTACTGTTTTTGTTTTTTAAAGGAGATATATGTTTGGTGGACATGACTGTCGTGATACATGTTCCTTAAACCACCCCAAATCCTTAGAAAGCTCGCTTCCCAAACATTACCCTACTACAATTGCCCATGCACCAAAAGTGATTGAAATAGTCACAACAGTTGACTGTTCACAATAGAACAGTCACAATAAAACAGTCACAGTTTTAGAGGCTCCCAGCCTACTTTAAGCATGAGTCACAATCAAAAGGTTAGACTATTACTCATATGGCTTCAATTTTTTAAGTGAAAGATGGCATGATCATAAGGCAAAAGAGTATTTTATATTAAACGGAAGTTTTAAATTTCATAAAGAAACTATCAGAATCATTTCTTTTGTAAACAAGTAACAATTTTCTGATCTGCAACTCCCTTTCTAAAAATACTAATTTCAATTAATTTTCAGATGACACTGATCAATTTTATTTTCATAAATATATAGAAAGGTACTTTTACAACGAAAAACATAAAATGTATTATGTTGAATGATTCAAAATGAGACATATTTAGACTGATCACAAAGTTCATGTTCCCCCAAGACCTAAGTCACTTCCTATACAAGAGACTATAGATCAGAATTTTCATCAATGTTTACATGTATAATTCTACACAGCCAGTAGTAGGCTTTTGGATAGGATGGCCAGGTAGAATTGTCATTGCCTATTAAGCAATACATCTATCATCACTCACTTTTTCTATACCTTCTTTCAGCCTTCTTTAAGAGGATTTTGCCTAGGCAATCTCAGTTACTTCCATCTCTTACAGAGAACTTAGATGTGGTTAGCTGCCTTTCTCATTAGATGTTGCATTAAAAAAAGACTTCCAATAGCCTATTGTGCATATTGAGGTACTTTTGCTCTTCAAACTCCATTAAGTTCTTGTAAGCCCCAATTAGGTAAAAGAACAGTTAATTAGAACAGTCTGTTTTCAATAGACTAAGAACTTTGCAAGGAAGATGATTTCAAGACCTTATGCCTAACTACCCACCTCTTTTCCCTTGAGTCCAAGTCTAGGTATTTGAGACTAGACAGTAAATTCATTCTCATTTAAGTAAATCAAACTAGTACTGCTGTGAATCACCTTTATACCATGAGGCCTCTAGCAAGTTATTTATTTTGGAAACATCCTCTATAGCTAGAGAAAATCTAGAGCCAGCAGGAACATGGCTTACATTCATAAAGATTTAAACCCGATCAAAACTATTACAAGTGAAAAGAGCAAGGGGAAAAAGTGAAATACATCTGTACGACTTTAGGTACTTCATATATATGAATTTCCAAACATTTCTTTAATCTAATTTCAATAGCTAACAATTATCACTAACTTAATAATAGAAAATACTAATGCAGATCATTTCTTCACCAAATAATTGGTGAAGAAACAAAAACGAAGACCTTCATCTATACATGGCAATATGATTGGGGCATAGATAGCATGGAAATATGTTTTAGAAAAATATTTAACTATAAAAGAAATCAACATGTGCTAAAGTTGTCCATTAAACCAAAATATATATTTCAAATAAAAAGAAGTTGAAGTCTATGTTGTATTATGATTGTTAATTACATCCCATAGACATATTTTGGTGTATATGGAGAGGTATATTATTGTGCTTAAAATTAAAGTTTTAAGCTTTCAAGCAAAGTTCGATTACTGTTTAAAAAAAATCAGCCATTGTTTTGCCCTAGGCATTGATAGCCCTGATTGCCTTCCTCACATATTCATTCTGTAACACTTATGAATATGCATAATACCTAATCTGGAGCCATAACAGAGATCAATATGAAATTATTGCAGCTAATTTGCTAAAACTTTGAAGTTGCAAAGACTTGCTTTTCCAAATATAATCCCAACACTCGCACTCAATTGTAGCCTAATATACCTTTATGAGTAGAACAGAGATGGCCTGGGTACACAAACCCAGTTTATCTCAGGCTACAGATGGGGAGTTTCTGTTTCTGCAGTTAAAATAAAATGTTTGGCAATTATGAATTACAGCTGTGCTGTACTTCCCAAGTAAAATTATTTGTTTGACCTCTCAAAATGTGGATATGTCCATTGAAGAAGTTACAACCAGATAATGTGAACATCTTTTTTCAGATGTTGCCACTGAAAACAATCAAGATGTTCAGCAGTCTGTATTTCATGTATGTTTCACGCTATGCTAGGTACCAGCATAGAAGAAGAATCAAAAACCAAACCAAACAAAGCAAACAAGAAAAAGCACTGCCCAATTATTCACATAATTCAGTCTGAGGGGGAGACGTAAGCCAAATAATTAAAAGACATGAGACGTATAATAAACAAGGGAAGAGCCAGATGTGATGGGAGTCCAGAGAACAGAGTAACTCATCTGCACTGGAGATTCCGAGGAGGTTCAGAGAGAAGCTGACCCATGGACTGGGGCTTAAATAGAGACAACAATGGGATTTGAAGAGACACATTCCTTGATAAAAGAATTACTTGTGCAAATGCCCAAAGTTAAGAGGGAATATGGCATATCTGGGTAGTCTGGGTGGATGAAGGGACCAGAACTGAGGTCAGACTATGAAAGGGGTCTGGGATTCCATGGAGACTTTGAGACTACACTGTGGGTAAAGAATGGAAATCTGAAATAACCAGAGCGGACTCCTTGAAACTGTTATGGTGGCAGAAATAGCTTTTTCTTACATTAAAGAGAAAAAAGAAAAGCAAGTAAGGATTGGTGGGGTCTTCTGAATGATTAAAAGCAATAAAAAATGATCTGTAAATTTACCACCAAATAATATACTAGGTAACTGCAGAATAAAATACATTATCATTCAAACAAAAAATGTGCAAAGTTACACCCCCTTTTTTTTTTTTTTTTAGGGACCAGATGACAATGTGATTTGGATACCAATGGGTAAGCATCATTTACTTTTACCATTCACAAGCATGTGGCCATGACTTATGGTAACAGCATAGGTCCAGTTGGCCAAATCTATTCTAGGAATTAATTATGACACTATTCAAAATTGATATGTCTTCAAACTAACTTTCCAAAATAATTTTTAGTGCAATCAATGTAATCTTAAACCACATGTACCCAAAAAATAGCAATAAGTATGCCATTTTGTATAAGGAGAAACAGTAGACTCTCTCTAAAACACTTTAAAATATAATTAAAACCCAAAATTTTTCACGTACTTTAAATTACTCCAAAACTAAATTTCAAGGTCTTAACACAAAACTTTAATTTTATTCACCAATGATATTTATTTACCTGAGAGAAACTGCATGTGGCCCATATATCTCTCTCACTGCTGATAAATCAGCTTCCAGTTGTGGGTGCTTGTGGAGTTCCCCATCATAGTTCACCTGATGAAAAGGGTTAATTTAAAAGTGTCTCAGAAGTGCAAAGAATCAAAAACATAAGCAATCTCTGGAGACAAGTCTCCCTGTACGTTTTGCCATGGGCATTTTTAGCTTCATTAAAGTAATATATTCACTAATATTCTTAGGTTCACATATGACTAGAATAATTAATTATATTTGGAACTTAAAGTTAGTTTACATTGATACAAAGAAAAAGCAAATGCAAAAAAGTGGTGAAGTATCTGGCAGATAATCTAAAAAACTTCGAGACTGAATCTCAAGACTGAAGAAAAGCATTTACTTCCCCTCTGTAAGAATTAGTTGTGTAAATAAAACTCAAACAGGAAGAATGATTTTGTATAATGTTGAAATGTTATATTGGGAAAGGAATCATTTCATTGGGAAAACTATCTCATTGCTAGAAAGTCATTCTTGGAGAGAGGAAAGCCAATTTTATTACGTTCATCTCTCTGTGGCCTTGCACATGCTTGATTGACAAATTACTATTCTGAATAAATTTACTTGCACTCTTTTACATAATTTTGGCTTTAATGTCCTTCTTTAACATATTAGACCCTCCCATTATACTATCCATCTTATAAAGCACATTTGCTCAAAGAGTTTATAGAAAGAGAACCACATATTATATGGCCACACCCTAAAATCAAATGCTCAGTTTAATTTTAACATTATCCTAAAAAATTCTGAAGAGTTCTTTTATACATGTGGCTAGGCTATTTTCATGTATTTAAATTATGATGATCCTTCATAACAATTTTCAACACCAAGAATTCAATGGCAAGGAATGCAAATAAATAATGAAGATGCTCAGTAATTAAGGCATATCAAATTTAATAAAGGTTAACCAGCTTCTACACTAACAATATATACTTTGTTACAAGTGTCATTACCTCAAAATATTGAATGAACACAACGTGCTTAAGAAATTTGAGGCAAAAACACAATAAAATGCTATCCGCAAAATCTCTTTAATGAATTAAGACGACTTCAATGTAAACAAATGATTACAATTAAAAGAACTGCAAGGGAACCTTAATTTCTAAAAATAGGTAGAAATGTAAAAAGATAAATTATATAGATTTTGTTAGTTACAGAACCCTGAACAACACACAGGTCCCTTAACTCTCAGGCACAGATTTCCACCAGGACAACATGGCTATCAGAACTTTAAGACTAGGTATTTGGAAGACCAGGCTTCCTTACCTGCCCTCCGTAATAAAATTCTTCGGAATCATTGTCACCTTCAGAATCTTCCTCCACTGTACTATTCTGTCTTGACTCCTTAAAATAATAAAGTAAGAAAACAATTTTAATGGTCAAATCAGTTGACCTGTTTAAAATAGCAAGTGGCTATATATAGGCAGGTCTTGAACATATATTACAGATTTTGTATATAAAACATTCTTGCTGCAGTGTAATCCCGAAACCCAAGGTAGTAAGACAAATGGCTTTGTGAGCGCATTCAGCTCTTTTTAAAGCACATCTTTTTAAAAAGTTCACTTTCACTGATTTTATAGGAAATACACAATTCAATATTTGATGTATATTAAAAACTTATGTATAATCAATTATACCTTCAGTTTTGCTCTGATAAAACATTTGGCAAGTTCATACTAATTCAATTTTATTAAAAAGCTCCTCAGCATTATTTGTCCCAGGCTGTTCTTACTTCCTCTGCCAACTCTAAACAATGGTATAAAAAAAACAGAAACTTTAAACGCAATAATATAAAATCAAATTATGAAAATAAACATGAAACATTATGAGGAGAACTTTGATATAAAAATTATTTGTTTCAGAATTCTGATTTCAAAAGGGTATTTAATTTAATATGCTTCAACTTGAAGTCTGAGTTTCTAATTACCTGAGCCACATCGGCCATGTGTCTGAAGTACAAATAGTGAAAATTCATGGGGGTATTCCTATCAGTGGCCCTATTAACATAGGAGAAATGTAGCTTATTTGGACACAGGAATCATTCACCCAGTGTTTTAGAACCATCCCTAAACTTCTACATTGAATTTCAAGTTCTTAAGGAAAACGAAACAAACAAAAATTGCAAAAGGAAATTCGAGTTTTAGAAAATTCTAACAATTATTGGTTTCATCAGTCCTTTTGTTCAACCAATAATTCTCGATGTGGATAAAGAAGGGAACTATAAATGGTGCAACACTAATAGAAAGAGGAGGGGTGAATCAAATGCGTAATTTGAAAGCAAAGAATTGCCGGTCCCATTGCACTCAATTAGTTTGTTTAATATCCTGATATTTATTTATAGATTCAAGTAAAGTCTTTTGAAATGCAGAGAAAAGATGAGTTTGTATTTTTAAGTACTGACAGAAAATAAGACTATGTACATCCTCTGTATTACTTTGGCTAAAGAAATCGTCTTTTACAAACAAAATTTTAAGGATCCCATCAAAATTACGCATAGCCATGTGCAGTTATAAATCAGTTACATAAGCGTTTCTCAATTAATTACATTGTTTGATGAAAGAATACAGAATAAGTTAAGCTTATTCTAAAATATACATTTTATTTAGATTTAAACCAGACATTTCTTTCTATGATCTGAAAGGGAACTTTCTTCTGAAAGTTAATTTTAGGCCACTCCCTACCATACAAATCAAATCATCCCTGGGCCATTAGCTTGAGCTTCATTCACCAATGCCATTTTAGTTTCAGGAATGATATTAACTACCAACACCCAGTAAATTTAAAATATATCTATACTGTTTCATGAAAATAAAAAATATAACTTACATACCTCCCCATTTTCCTTTTGTAATTTGGATTTTATGGATAAGCAACAGTTAATGTCATTTGTTTTTCTTAATTCTGAAAGAAAGTAATAATTAAAAAAATATGATTGTGATTTAGCATGCTATTTACCAAGCATTCGTGAGTTCTGGTATAAAATCACTCTTTAGATGATTCCATCTCCTTTGAAAAAGAATTAAGAGATATTTTGAAATTACGTCATGTTGAAGAGTTACACAATATGCGAGCTATTCTGATTATTCACAGTGCAGAAAGATGTGATTGAGCTAAACTAAACAACCGCTTCACAAATTCCTTCAGCTCTCACTTTATATTTCATGGTATCTTCATTGCTGTAAGTGTGGTTTTAAAGTATTCAGTCTTTCACTGTGCAGAAAAATATTTTTACAAAAGCAATGTCAGCATAAAACATTTAAACAGGATTTTTTTAGCTACTTTAAATTTATGCATTTACAAAATTGTTTTAAAAAAAAAGTACTTTATATAGAAAATTTGTCCGGAAACTGGATTTATAGATACAGAAGATAAATATCTGTTACACTGGCTAAACAAAACAAATAAACAAAAAGGCCACATACAATTTTAAAAATTAACCTAGAATAAAAATAGTATTACTATTACCTGTTGCTATTCTATGAAAAATTACTGGTATTGGCTCTGTAGTAACTAGCACATCTTCAACATTCTCTGAACTTGACACATATGTATTATCTGAAAAAAAAAAAAAGATCATTAAAAGCATAAGTTTAAAAACTACATCCTTTATAAAAATAATAGCTAATTTATATGCATATCGCTTGAGTTCCAACTCTCTAAAGCACACACTACTGTTCCGATTAAACTAAAAAAATATGATAAAGTAAATTGCAGATTTATGTGTGAAGTAACTGTAAATAGTCTCTTTAAAGACATTTGCATCTCCTGGTGAAATACAGATTTTGAACAGAGACTATCCAGGTACATCTTTAATATCCCTTATGGCAATGAATCATTTGGATGCAACTGGGTGCCTCAACTCACTGGAGGGGGTCCTTCCCAATATAAGTGTTTATCATAGGAAGCAGAGTTAGTGAGTAGAGAGAGAAAACCAAAGAAAAGCACTTGCTGCAATTAAAAAAAAATTCATTAGTGGGCCAGACGCAGTGGCTCATGCCTATAGTCCCAGCTCTTTGGGAGGCCTAGGCAGGCAGCTTACTTGAGGTCAGGAGTTTGAGACCAGGCTGGCCCACATGGTGAAACCTCAATCACTAAAGTTAAAAACAAAAATTAAAAAAGATTCATCATGAAATAATTCAAAAATTTGAGCTGAAGACTTGGTTGTAATTCACACCTTTTATATTGCTCTAATGCATATTTTTAAATTGATATAAATCTCACAATTATCATTCTTCTATAAATTAAATTAACTGCATGCATTATACCAGTTGAGCGCACAGAAAACTAAATTAGCCCATAGAGTCCTTAAATTTCTTATTCATTATTTGTTTCCTCTCAAAAAAATAATGTTTTTATGAGTTTAGCACTCTTTCCCTGACAAATACAGGTCTCTAAGTAACGGTAATACAATCCTAGATATTTATTTTCTTTGCTCATTGAGGATTGCAGGGCATCTTTTTTCAACACACACTTCATCAATTCATTAATAATGGTCCTATAATGCACCCACCACTGACCTATTAAATAGTACACAATATCACACACAAATAATAGAAGCATAGATCAATTTCTGCTAGGGAAAATTAATGTTCTTATGATGCAGTGAATACACATTAAAAGATATTTTTGAGCCCAGATTTCATAATATTGTGTCAGCACAGTGAGAACATGATTTTTAATTGATACATGGCTAAGTCATTATTTCCAAGGAAACATCTGTACTATTCTTAGACCTTGAGTAATGAGTGAATGATAGTGATCTGTATGTACAGGTTTGCTGCAAAAGATTCTAACAGACCTAAGGCTTTAATAATTATTCAGGGAGCTAAGCAGAAGTGGATATGAATTAGATTTGAGACAAAAGAAGTTTGCCTCATTATTTTGTTTGGGGCAATCACAAATTCGGCTTTATTTAATTTTCCAATAGTTTCATGGAGGATGTGAGGTTTTCATGTTTATCGAGTGAGACCACAGATTAAGAAACAGGTTTAATATAAATTTATTTTAATTATATCTCATTAGTTGAGACTTTGATCTCTTATCTAGAGTCTCCTCTGTCAGTAACCTCATACTTTCAGTAAGTATCAAAAACGCCTGTTAGAGCCAATTTTTTTATTATGTCTTAAGCCCTCACTCAGAGTCTCATTGATTTGAAGTCGGCTGTTACTTAATAAACCTAATTATCTGTTTTCCCTGTGCACAATGGATTCCCTGGAGCTAACATTCAGGAGAAAAGAGTATTAGAAGGGAGACTTAGCATAATGGAAACAAAAGCTGACCAACAATTAGAAGGGAAGATCCAGAAAAATCCATAAGGTGGATAGTTCCACATAATTCACAGAATCATGGAATGACAGAGATTTTACATAAACACCAAGAGTTAAGTAAATTAAGAGAGTATGTTTAAGAAAACAGGGGAGTGAATAACTAAATAGAAAGGATTTTCTATCAAAATGCCTTACATAAAGTGTCAACACTGGAAGACAGTAAGATTTGATTCAAGAGAATGTAATTTGGTGTATGTTGCATAGGCTGGACAGGATTATGCTTTCAAACATATTTTCTAAGAGGTTTTGTACAGTTTGTATTTTGATTAGTATTTAGGCATTAGAATACATGTAATTTCTTATTTTGGCTTAATTTATCCCAAATAAAACTGTTTTCAGGTTTCATGACATTATTTATTAAATTGCCATTATTACATAATAGGCCAGATCCAATCACAGAGACAGACCCAAGTTATGGTGAGAAACGAAGGACAGGAAAGAAAGCACATCAAATCTAGAAGCTGCTTCAATTCTTTGAAAGAATTCGCTTCACTCTGAATTCAAAGCACTCTGGTCCAGAGCTTTTCTTTTTTGGAAGATTTTTGATTACTGATTTGATCTCCTTATTGATTATTGGCCTGTTATTTCTTTATGATTCATCTTGATAGGCTGTATGTCTCTAGGAATTTATCTATTTGTTCTATTTTATGCATTCAGCAATTGAAAAGGAATGAAATCCTGCCATCTGCAACAACATGGATGAACGCGGAGGACAGTATGCCAAGTGAAATAAGCCAGACACAGAAAATAAATACTGCATGATTTCACTTACATGTGGAATCTAAATAAGTTGAACTAGCACAAGCAGAGAATAAGAACAATGGTGGCCAGGGGTTGGGGGACACAGGGAGAAGTTGGTTAAAGGGTACAAACTTTAAGCTGTAAAATCAACAAGTTCCAGGACCTAATGTGTACCATGGGTGGTGATGGATATGTTAAATTAATTTAATCATGGTAATCACTACACATGTATATACATATCACATCATCATGTTGTATACCTTGAATATATTCAATCTTTATTTGACAGGTAAATATTTTAAGATTTAGAAAAATCTAGCACTACCACCAACCAGCTGTTGATCTCCTTTAGCCTAAGCCACAGTCTTTGCTATAAAACGATGAAAGGTTTGCTCATGATCTCTGATGATCATCTCATCTGTATGAATCCATTCTGTTGCCTTTTTGTGCTGTTACTTAATTACTTCTAAATCTTCCTCAAATTATTCTGACATCTGTAAAAATAACATTTGTTTAGAGGAGAAAGTGGAGTGTAAAAAGGGTTAAAGAATGTACTTAAGTAATAGAATGAGTCAGTGACAGAATAAGAATGTTTTTAAACTCAAATTCTTTCACTGGAATTCTCCATCTTGACTTCTAGGCTGCCTTTTTTTTTTTTTTCCCTGAAAACCTCTGGGACAGTTAGATTTTCAATGTGGATGTTTTTTAGAGGACCTACAAATCTTTGTTAAAGCTGCTGACAGCATGGATATTTTCTCTTCATTTCTCTAACACTATGCAAGCATTATCAGAAATTTCATGGACACCTGGGACTTGGGGAGAGATTAACAGAATTGTGGAAAAGTGTTTATTAAACCGTTGCTTTTATTCTACAGGTACTTCAAATACAGCATCATTTAAGTCAAGTCATTCCATTCCTCACTGCTATGTAACCTAAGATAAATAATAATTATAACTCTAAATAGCAGTTATATTGATTTTATATTACATTCTGGATATTTTTGCTGAATTTTCTATATAATTTCATATCATCCCCAATGACAGTCAATTACTATCCCTATTTTAAATATTAGGGAACTAAGGCTCAGAGAAATTAAATACTTGGCTCAAACTACTTATTAATTAACTGACTATACACTAGTAAGCAGTAAAGCTAGAACCTGCCTGAATCCAAAAAGCAATGCTTTGTCACTGTACCATGTGCTTCTTTAAATATGGAATATACAGTCACTAAAAAGTTGCAATATCTTATAAAATATAAATTCTTATTAGATATAAAAACAATTATATTTTAGAGGCTATAATTTAATATAGACTGTACAGCATTCTAATTCTCAGGAGGTTTATTCACAAGCTATACATAATGCTCAAATGTATCATGTAAGTCAAGACTCTTTGGACTCACAAGTACTAGAGGCTCCAGAAAGTACCCCTTCATTCCTCTAGATTCTAGGGATAAGAAAGTCCACTCCCAACAGCAGGTAAGCCTTTCTAATTAAAAGTGGAAAGAGAAAATTAAAGAACTCTGCCATTATAGCAGAGCCAACCTGTGACTTGTAATATACACAACTACTGTGTGATCCATTATCTTACATTTTTAAAAAACTGTCTTCAGTAAAAATCCACAAAGAAGTACAAGTAAATAAGAAGACTGCTCTATTTCTTCAGTTAATAGTGAACAGTCAACATATCATTTAGTATTTCATTTATATACATGCTATTATGTACGCTGACTCAATTAAGGCCCTTTAGATTTTCATTTCACTAAAACAAACTATGAAATAAATTTCAATAGATGGCACAAGTTAATTAATAGATCACAAATATAAAAAGACAAATCTGTTCCCAGGGACATAAGCTAGGGTGATGTAATCTTGACTTTGGAGGATAATACTAATACATTTTCATAGAGCAAAGAAAATTTCCTACATTCAAACTTAGATAATTAGCTAATAAGCAATCCAAATAATCCAGGAAAAGTTGGGGGGGGAATCCCAAGGTATATTATTAGAAGGAATTAATAAAGGTAATATCAAGATTACTGCATTAAGAAATTGAACACGACATTAAAGAGAGCTATTTGTTTGAAAGAATCTTTGAAAATGGACAAATTATTTAGAAGACAAACCAATAAGGGGAAGGACAGAACAAATATAAACAATAAAAATGGGCTAGAAGAAATAACCAGAGACATGGAAGATTTTTACAACTACAGACCAAATACTATACTTTCGCTAAAAATTTGGCCTTTTTACCGACCTAGCAACTTTCAAAAAGAACACACATTTTTAAATGACTAAGAAATAGGAAAATGGAACAGATAGTAATCATGGCAGAAAAATAGGACAACTGCCCCAGAACCATCCCTTAAAAGATATTGAGCTCAGACAGATTTGTTTGCATGGCCTAGCAAATGCTCAGTTGTTTTATTCCTTCAGCAACTTAATTCTATTAGTCTTTAATGCTAAAGTATATGACAAAACACATAATTCTCATAGATCAACATTGAGTTATTTGCTAATATAACTTCTCACTTTATTGTCTAAAGGAAAAGGTATATATGATACCTCAACAGATGCCAAACAATAGTTTGATAAAATTTAATATTCATTTTTAAAAGAAAAATCAAGCTTGATAAATGAGAAAAAGAATCATTTCCTTTCTGAAAACAAGTGGAAGCATGCTCACTAATTCTGAGAAAAGGAACAAAGCTGCCAAGTTTCATATCTATTACTAAAAATTATTCCAGTTGCCAGCTAGAATAGGTATAAATGTTGGAAAGGAAGAGCAAACACATACCTTCTAAAACAATATGTCTACCTAAAAAGTCAAGCATATTAACTAACAACTCTTTGTACAAATAAATGTGGATTAAAATTTAATAATGCAGAAAACATTATCATATTAATGTTCACTGTGAAGAAACCTCCATAAAAATACAAACACTAATCCCCCAGAGGCAACAGGAATCAGAACTGAATTACAGACTTGATTTTATTACCAAACTACATGTTTTGAGAAAATGTTATTTAATACTGAACATCTCTCAGCCTGCTTCTCTAAGTATAAATTTATATTACAAATTATCCTGTTCCGCCTTTCATACAGACTAGCACTGAGAATCAAGTGAAATTGTGTATGTGCTAACACTTGGTATGCTGTGTGCTGTACAGTGTACTTTGACGTACTGGTTATATCAACCAATTGAAATTTCTGCCCCAGTATTTAAACCAGAATGCACTATTCTCCCTGTTCTGTCATTGAATTTTATTGCAGCATAACAACCTACTTTAATCAAACAGATTAAATATATTTATTTCCACTCCTTCCTTTTGGAAAAAAAAAAAGTTGTACTGGAAATTCATTGCAAACTTTCTCCAATTAAAGAATTAGTAAAAAGAGCACAAAGGATAATCAATACTTTTAGAATTTCAATGTTTGTATATCGGCATTTCCAAGTGAGGCTCCAGTAAAGTGAGGAAAAGCCCAAGTAATACCTCTTGGCCACAAGAGGGAGCTAAACACTTGGTCCACTTGGTTTACTAAAGACATCTTCTACCACACATCCTGTGCTACAGAATAATTCACTTAGTGTCTTCAACTTGCGCTTTAATTTGTACTATGATTTCTATCACCTTGACTTCAAAGTCCTGTACCTCTCATGGCTGACATCTCTATGATCTGCCTCAAATGAAAAGCACATAATTTTAATATTTACAATAAATAGTGGGGGTTTTATTTTCCTAACATAGTTGGCAAACATAGCATCAAAAACATGCTATATCATAAGACAGGGCTGACTGCATAATCATCTACAAAAAGTACTTTTCTTATAAATACTTCTTGTCTTGGTTCTTTCAGTAAAATTTCTCTACACCACTTTTTATGTTACTAATAAAAATAGGCATAGCCTTAATGAATAACTTCACTGTATAACTGTGCAATCGTTTTATAGAATACTACGCTTAAAACATATGGAGAGCATAGCAAAATAATTGTAAGGAAGTTTGCGATTTAAGAAATTATTTTCAAATGTAAGAATTTTATCAAATGATTAAATGCTTAATGCAAACTGCCACAGAAAATACTTAAATGCTAAACAAGTAACTTTCACATTATCTCTGTACCAAACTACAAACTAATTACTATTTTTAATACTAAAAAGAAAAAATAGATACACAAACACTTAGAGAAATGACTGAAACAAATAAGTGTTACCTATTATTTTTACATTATGAAAGGCCAAATGATGTTCAAGACTAACAATTAGACCAGGTGAGGGAATCTTTATTTTAATTGTAAATGATGTAAACGTACAGGCTGGAACTATCACAGGGCTCTTTAAAGAACTTTTCACTGGGACATTATTTTGATTCTGGACTGTGTCTCAGAGTAAGACATGTATTTTGCAGGCAGTCAGGAGAATTCTTCTACACCTTTAAGACTTCCTCTGCCAATGCTTTACCCTTAGATATATTTATATGTGATTTACATCTCCAGAAGAAAAAACTATTCAAGGGAATCGTGATATGAATATTTGTAATAAAAGGAGAAAAGCATACCTGGGTAATCTTCAGATACATGTACTGAGTAGGACACACTGTTAAAACAAGAAAAGAAGACTCAAGTTACTGCTAAGGTAGGCAGGCTTTTACAAAAGACAAACCAACCCCATGTTACCCATTCCGTTACACAGATACGAGTACAAACAGGTAACTTCCAAAACAGATCAGAAAACCACTTTTATATCTGACATAAGAAACTTTTTTTAAGATACACTTTCCATTAGTCTAAATGGGCCTTAGTCTAACAGCTTTGAAATGTCTTTCTCCCAACAGGAATATTTCTTTTAGTATAGATAGGTCTTTTATTTCAGCAAGGTCTATTACTTCCTAATATATGATCATTTGTTTTCTTTGGTCAGATTTCATCAAGTCATCTTTTCTTACCAAAAAAGTATTTCTCTTATTTAGTATAGGACCCAAGAATTCCATTTTTTAATATTATTTCCCCAAAATATAAAGTACTTTTGATAATACTGGTTTTTTTCCTAAAAGAATTAACAAAATATAATGGAAGCATATCAATCTTTCATCATGCGTGCACACACACACACACACACACACACACATATATATATAAATGAACTTCCTTCTATTTTCATAAGGATTGAGTTGTTTCAAAATAATTTTTAAATTATATTTTAACAATTGCACAACTTCTTTCTCAGTAATCCCACTGCCTCTATGTACCTATCTCATGACATATGAAAATTGAACATATTTATCTGTTCATTTTTCCATCTCTGTCAACTAGATAGCAAGCCCCATGAAGTTAAGATCTATATTTGTAGTGTCATCATTTATTTTAGTGCATGACACACAGCATATGTTTAGCATTAGCAATCTGACTGCATCAGTGAAGCTGCCACCTGCCACGGAAAGGTCAAAATTTAGTTTGAGTTCAGCCAAATTATCTGCCTGTTAAGGAAAAAAAAAAAAAAAAAAAAAAACTCATTCTCTTTAAAAGAACATACAGAAGACAGGATCTGCTCAAAGTATCGTTCACAGGGTGAATCCAATACAATCCAAAATCATTTAATACATGTACAAACAGGAAAATGTAACCTATTTTCAAGAGAAAAGACCCAAGTGTTGGGATTAGCCCATTATAATGTTAAAATAGTTATTTTAAGTATACTTAAGGATGTAAAGGAAAAACCAGTCTGAAGAAGACAGAAACAAACAAAAAGACTATCAGAGACTTCTGGGGCACTAGCAAAATAACAACATTTGTATAATTAGAGTTTTAGAAAGCTGAGGAAAAAAAGAATAATGCAGAAAATATCAAGAAGGGCTGAAAATTTCCCAATTTTAGTGAAAGACAAAGATGTGCTGAATAAAGAAGCTCAGAAAATCTGAAACAGGAAAGCACAAAGCAAATTATACCCAGGTACATGCAGTCAAACTGCGGAAAACCAAATATAAGAAAACATTCTAAAAGAAGTCAGAGAAAAATAAAACGACATATTACATACAAGGAAACAGTAGTAAGAATCAACGTTGATTTTTGGGAAGGGGAAGAGACCACTGTCAGTCCAGAATTCTGTATTCAGCCCATAAATTACACATACGCATCCACAAAAAACGAAGGCAAAACAAAACAACTTTCAGATAAAAGAAAATTGTAAAAATATGTCCCCAGCAGACCTGCAGTATAAGAAGTCCTCAACAAAAGCTCTTCAGGATTAAAAATACCAGACAGAAAGTTAAAGGAATGAAAAACACCAAAAACTGTAAATATAAAACATGATATTTTTCTTAATCTTTTAAAAATACATTTAACTGTTAAAAGGTAAAACTATAGCACTTCACATACATATGATTACAGCATTGTAACAGGGAGGGGTAGAATGGCCTTAAACAGTTGCAATGTCCTTGCATACTATGTAAAATGAAGTTGCAAAATCCTTAATATTATGTAAAATAATATATTAACCCTAAATAATAACTATCAGAAAAGTTAAGGAAATATCCCTATAGCAAGAACACATGTATACACAAACACATAAACATACACACACACAAACTGCTTTAAAAGCTAATAGATAAATTACACAATTCTAAAAATCATTTTGCATCATTTAATTCTAAAGAAAGCAGAAAAGGAGGAACAGAGGAATAAAAAGCAAAAGGAACAAATAGAAAACAAAAAGTAAATAGAGACTGAGTCTAATCATATCAATAACTGCATTGAATGTTAATGGAATAAGACACACTGCATAAAAGAAAAAGATTACCAGAATGGATTAAAAAAAGCAAGATCTGTGCTACCTTTAAAAGAACCACATTAAATATGACACATATAGATTTAAAGTAAAGAATGGAAAAGATACACCGTGCAAACAATAGGCGTCGGAAGACTGAGGATGAAGATGTAAAGAGGTCATTCATAATGATAAAAGGGTCAATTCATCAGGAAGAATGTGTATCAATCATAAATGTGTATGTACTACTAACGAAGCTTCATAATATATGAAGCTAAACCTGACAGAAATATAGGAAAAATGAACAATGCAACAATCATAATTTGAGTAATTAACAGAACCAGACCAAAAAATAAAGAAAGACACAGAATATTTGAAACTGATTTATAGAGCACTGTAATTGCAGAGTATCAAGATAGACCATACACTGAGCTGTAAGACAAATCTCAATAAATTTTAATGAATGGGTGAACATGAGTCAGCACAGCTCATATTCTGGGTTCCCTGGCTCATCTTGTCCTTATGGTATTTGAGTCCTAAGTCCTTGAAAAGTCATTGCCTCTTAGAATTGGTGTCTGGACTTAAGGCTTTGCTGCTTTGGCCAGGAGGCAATGCAACCCTTCCAGGCAAGCTTAAGTTCCCAACTCCACCAGTCAAGTCCCAGGCATGCTACTCAGTCCTTGGAAAGAGATTAGGCAGAGACAAAAAACATAACTGAATAAGTAGATGAATAGAAAAGAAGTATGATTAGTAATGAGATGAAGTTTGATACATTTTTCTTTCATAAGGCATATTTAATTGTTCGATTGTTTTTTATTTTTTTTAGAGATGAGGTCTTGCTCTGTTGCCCAGGCTGGAGTGTAATGGCATGACCATACCTCACTGTAACCTCGAACTCCTGGGCTCAAGCAACTGCCCCTTTCAGCCTCCTGGGTAGCTTGGACTACGGATTTGCACCACCACATCCAGCTACTTTATTTTTGGTAGAGACAGGGGTCTCACTATATTGTCCAGGCTGGTCTCAAACATCTGGCCTCAAGCCATCCTCCTGCCTCAGCGTTCCAAAGCACTGGGATTAAAACCATTAATCCCAGTATTAATTCAAGGAGCACTTTTTGGTAACCTGGTATGAGCCAAACATTGTGTTAATGACAAATAAGATTTAAATAGAAAACAAAAATATCAGAGGCAACACCTTTGGATGATTAATTCAAAGAGAACCAGAGAATATGAAACATAATAAACATGACAAAGGAACATGAACATTTTAAAGCATAGTAGTATTTTTTTTTACTTTCTACTTTTTATATAAATAGACTCACAAAAGTTGAAAAGACTGTACGAAGGTCTCATGTACATTACCCAGTTTCCTCCACTGCTTACGTATTATGTACCCACAGAAGAATATCAAATCCAGGAAACTGACATTAGTGCAAAGTTTGAGTACAGTTCTATGCTGTTTCATCACATGTTCATTACATACCCATTACAGCAAACAAAATACAGAACTATTTGATCACACAAAAATTCCCTTGTGCTATCCTTTTTAGAGACATATCCATCTCCCTTCACACAAGCATCCTTAAGCCCAACAGCCACTAACCAGTTCCCTAGCTCTAAATTTTTTATCATTTCAAGAATGATACACAAATTGAATCATACAGTATGAAGTGTAATAGTATTTCCAGGCAGAATTAGTATTTTGAACAATGTACTCTGATAGCTATTATTTAGGATAGACTGAAGAAAAGAAAGACTGGATTAAGAAGCTATCATAGTAGTAAAATATGAGCAAATATCAGTGACAAGGTATGTATTGGGCATAAGGACGCAGGAACAAATGGCAGATGTTGGACCCTAGCCAAGAGCCCAGTTTTGGAAATCATGGCCCTGAATCACATGCCAAATATTAGAAGATAAAATATCCATGACAATGGTGCCCCAAATAAGCTGGGGGAAATGTACACTATGACCTCACATGAACTTATTTTCCCATGATCCATTCCCTTATAATGTCGAATGGTACTATGTAGAAATAAAACAGATCATCAAGGTACCCTTTCTGATCTGGCAGTACTATGTGACAGAAGCCTGGCAATGCCAGAGATTATACTCAGTACTAAGCTGAATTAATTCCCAACAGCCTACCATCGCAACCAAGTGCAGTTGGCTTCATTTTTCATCTAAATCAGTGTCTGTTCCAAAATGAGGCCTAATTCATTTCTTTGTCTACCTCCAGCTAGAGGGCCTGTTGTAGTTCAAGATAGACAAATAGGAGTCCAATGCAGCTTTGAGGCTTAAGTAGCTGGTAGGCATAAGAAAAGTTAGTTAAACACTCACAGGCTCAATCTCTATTTAGCAAAATGGAAGAATCCATATCTACCTTAAGAGCCTGCTGTGATGATTTAATGGCTTAACAGGTGCAAGGACCCCAGGACAATGCCAGACACATAGCAGCAGGTGCTGAGTAATTTTAGTCAGCTTCCAGCACAAGCAATTAAAATTTATAGAAGTGAATTTACATGAATGAATGTTCTCTGGGGAACTCAAGTGGCTAAAAAATACAGTATGTTACATTTATTAGAGACCCAAACCAACACTGATGATTTTATTTTATGGTTGTATTGTTCTCATGATATTAGGAGACATTCCCATGTTGAGGAACACACCTAATTTTTCAAACAGAAAATAGAAAACAGATATCCTACAAAACGATTCATCAGCCCCTTGTGCGACAGCATTTTCTCGGTAGTATACCAGAAGGAAAATCATCAGGACTGTAAAATCCTCATCAGTTTCACTTTGTGGCTTACAGAGTTCTAAGGGAAACAATC